CAATTGCATTCAGGGGTGACTGGGCATCTAATGCACTATAATCACTACAGCATTGTTCCTTTAATATCACCTCTAAATACAGGGGACCAGAACACTGTCCTCAGACAGCAAGCACAGTGTGAGTATATAATTAGATGTTCTGATGGCAGGCACAGGTAGGATCACCCATTGTGGGGATCACCAGTGACACACATGTCTTCAATGGGACAACCTTTTAGTCTTAATGTCATACGTCTTAAGGTTTAGATGTATGCTCCTGTATATTGACCCTCTTTTCATATTTCTGAGTAGCCTATGAAATCTTTCTTGCTGAATACGGATGACTCTTGATTACAAACATATATTAAGGCGACACTGTAGTCACCAGCACAGCTATAGCTTAATGTAGTTGCTTTGGTGAGCATAGGCAGTCCCTGCAGTTTTTTTTTGTTGTACAAATTGTCATTCCAGAGAAAACATTGGCTGAGATCATCAATTCTGATGATGTCAGCCCAAGAGGGGACTGGGCCAGCACCAGCATATTAATGGAGAGCTGGAAATAAAGTAAATTTTAACCGTTTCTAAGCGGATGGGAAGGAGATAGCACTTCCTCAGGAAGGATCTCTAACAGCTATCTGTGGAGTGGCCAGTGAAGTTTCTCTGAAAATACAATATTCACTGCAAAAAGCCTGAAGGTAATGATTCTACTCACCAGAAGAAATTCAATAAACTGTAGTTGTTCTGACGACTATACCGTCCCTTTAAAATTAGGTTATAGTCATGTTTGTCTTTCCAATTACTCTTGTTTAGTTTTAATAAAAATAATATAATTAATTTTGTTACAAAAGCACATCATTTTACTCCATACCTGTTGCATTTCTCATTTTGCTTGTGATACACTGCTTTACATTATGTCATTATGAACAGATTAATTGGGGTTGTAGCAGCTTTTCACTGTAGAAAATATACATATGATGTAAAACTTTCACATAACTCCCAAGTGCCCCTACTCAGGAGAGAAAGTCCTTATTTTGGGCCCAAATCACTCTGTCCCTCTTTATTAAGCTCTCCATATTGTTGGTATGTCTGATGCATCACAGAGTTCTACAGCAATAATACTAACGGTAATGTGTCTTTACACTATAATAACAATAAGTAGTTTAGAAATCAGTCTGCGTAAATAAGATACATTATTCTTGTTGTAAATTAAATTTTAGAATTGTTATTAGTAAAATGTCTAAAGACAAAATTATGAAAACAACCCTTTTTCTATGGATAGTGAAATTCTGTACAGGATCCATTTCTACCCAATCCCATCCTGTCGTGCTACCAGGTGCATCTTCAATCTGGCTTCCTTTTTCCATTTTTACCAGAAATGTGGTCATCTCCCAAGAATACTGCTCTGCTCCTCACTTGTAAAATAGCAGTGATCAATTTAAAGGACCACTCTAGGCACCCAGACCACTTCAGCTTAATGAAGTGGTCTGGGTGCCTGGTCCAGCTAGGGTTAACCCATTTTTTAATAAACATAGCAGTTTCAGAGAAACTGCTATGTTTATGAATGGGTTAAGCCTTCCCCCATTCCCTCTAGCGGCTGTCTCATTGACAGCCACTAGAGGCGCTTGCGTGCTTCTCACTGTGATTTTCACAGTGAGAGCACGCAAGCGTCCATAGGAAAGCATTGTAAATGCTTTCCTATGCGACGGGCTGAATGCGCGCACAGCTCTTGCCGCGCGTGCGCATTCAGCCCAGGAGGAGGAACGGAGGAGGAGAGGAGGCAGAGAGCTCCCCGCCCAGCGCTGGAAAAGGTAAGTTTTAACCCCTTTCCCCTTTCCAGAGCCAGGCGGGAGTGGGACCCTGAGGGTGGGGGCACCCTCAGGGCACTATAGTGCCAGGAAAACGAGTATGTTTTCCTGGCACTATAGTGGTCCTTTAAAGCAAACCCATTCATGGCTACACCCTCACTCACACCCCTAAAATCAAAGTGTCTATCTTTGTCCATTTGAAATATTGGGAGATATGCTTTCATATTGTAAATCTCTTATTAAAAGTGTGAGAAAAAATGTGCAAAGTATTCACCTTTTCAAGAGGCATCCACTGCCCCATAATTAACTAATCAAACAGAATTTGTTGAGCTTTCAAAGCTTTGCTGTGTTGCTAGGTAGCATATTACCATTTTAATGCAGTGTAGTGGATTTTAAATGCTATTGAATCCATCTGTTCTTTCCCAATATTCATTTTAAATAGCACCTTTACCAAGCTTTTTCTTTTGTATGTGGGAGAAATTGTTTAAATTTCTTCCATCATATTTACGATTTGGCGCATTTATTACATGTCAAGCCAGCGTTATATTAAGGCTCTTTGCCCAGCCTGGCTGAAGTACATGTGTGTCATCTTGTCAGTAAATAGAGGAAGTAGGAGCAAATTATTGAAAGTAATGCGTACAGCTGTTACCGTGGTGATGAATCAAGTTATTTTTATAGACCGGCTTTTACAGAGTATATTATAACATGCAATATTATTAATACAAGTAATTAAAAACACAAAAGATGCCAAATTCTATGAAAATCTTTTTTTTTTTTTTTTAAATACTGCTCACATTTTTTTTTATATTTTCTTCTCTGAGCTTTTACATTGGAGAAAGTGTCCTATACATTAAAGAGTAATTTTCTTCTCGTAAACGTGTCATACTTTGGCATTCTAGCTTATGCAGTAGTCATTGTTGGGGAGTTCTCTGGCAGAAGTTTGTCAAGATAATAAATGAGTCTTGGTAGTGAAAGCGGAATCTTATTCCTTGGTGGATTTTCTGTGTCAACAGCTAATACATTGCATAAATGATGCAATTTTTGTGTGTCAAAAGACTTCAAAAAGTACACATTTTTCCATTTACACGAGCATTTGTCATCATTTTATAAATGGCAAGTACTCATGTGCAATAGGAGTGATTGACAGATTTGTTTTCAGAGTGGATTGAACACTACAAACCACCTCTCCTATGTTTCTATTTATTTATATATCTACTATCTTAAAGTCGACTGTCATCTGTGCTTTTTTTTATAAAATACACAAACTGTCACAAGGTGACATCCCTTATAACCAGGAAACACAGTTGAAGAGAAATGTAAATTATCAAGTACTTAACCGGAAAGTAACAGCGAGGGAACGAGGCTAAGGCAAGATCTGACACCCGGCAATACTTAAACATTTTATTATCAATCCTCAGTCACAGTATTATCATATACGCACAGAAATGCAAAAAGGATTTCCATAGATGGTATTTTTAAATGACTGACATCATACATGTTATGTACGTTTAGCAAATTGAAAGAATCCTCCGTAGCATGTGTATTAAAGTTAGACATTGACTCTCAAGACGATTGTGATCATCCATGAATGATTGACAGCTGACATAAACCACTTGCTAATTCAGTTCCAGAAATTAAAGTTCCACAAAAGCAACATTGTGAATATGTGATCTTAAGTATCACTTTTACATGAACTATAATTAAAAGAAAAACATGTATTTTTGCAGTACTTGTATTAAAGCAGCCCAAGTGACATGTCTTGGACAATGCTTCCCTATGAGGAGAATCTCATTAGGCAATCGATCGCCCTATCATATTTGCACATTTGCAGATATTTGCTAATGGAGATTTAGCATCAAAGCAAAACATTAGTAGGAATAAAGTCATCTTTTATATTATGAAAATAAACTAATGCAATTAAAATGTAGTTCGATTTCAAGAATTCAGAGGAACCTCAACTCTTAAATTACAATAAAGGTCTATCTGAAAGTAAAGAAGCAACTCTATCAACTATTCAAACAAAATGGAGTCCACAAAATGAAACCATTTTCCCTGCAGTGCCCCTGTCTTTTTATTTCAGAACACATTCTCGCTATTTTCTTACAAAGTTATTGTAACAAAGAGAGAATTCAGAGGAAATGCAAAGTAAATGTCAAATTTAAGGCCAAATTAGACAAACTGTAAGCATAGTTGACCTATAGAATGTTTCCAATTTGGCTATTTTCACCTTGAAATTGAAATTCACTTTGAATTCAATTTAGTAAATAACCCTGTTAGTATTTGAATTGTTTTCCACAATTTGATTGTCTTCAAATCAGGGAACAGAAATTGCAATAAGTCTCATAAGTCTTTAATAGAAGTCTTCTTGTTATTTCGTTTTTAGAAATAATAATGGAGGTTTCAGTATATCAACACCACATTATTAACCCCTTTAGAACGGAGGACGTACAATTACGCCCTATTTTAGACGGCTCTAAACGCCGCCGGGCATAATTGTACGCCCTCCGGTTTTTGTTAACTTACCCGGTCGCCGGCGGTCCTACGCCAGCGATCGCAGTGGGTGGGACTCCCAGGGAGCCCCCCCACGGCAGATCCTTCTCCTCCTCCTATAACTTTCCAAGACACCATAAAACCTGTACATGGGGGGTACTGTTCTACTCAGGAGACTTCGCTGAACACAAATATTAGTGTTTCAAAACAGTAAAATGTATTACAACGATGATATCGCCAGTAAAAGTGACGTTTTTTGCATTTTTCATGCACAAACAGCACTTACACGGACGATATTATTGCTGCGATACTTTTTACTGTTTTCAAACACAAATATTTGTGTTCAGCGAAGTCTCCCAAATACAACAGTATCCCTCATGTACAGGTTTTATGGTGTTTTCAAAAGTTACAGCGTCAAATATAAGGCTTGCGTTTAATTTTTTTCACATTAAAATTTGCCAGATTGGTTACGGTGCCTTTGAGACCCTACGGTAGCCCGAGAATGAAAATTACCCCTATGATGGCATACCATTTGCAATAGTAGACAACCCAAGGTATTGCAAACGGCGTATGTCCAGTCTTTTTTAGTAGCCACCTAGTCACAAACACTGGCCAAAATTGGCGTTTTTTTGCATTTTTCACACAAACAAATACTAACGCTAACTTTGGCCAGTGTTTGTGACCAAATGGCTACTAAAAAAGACTGGACATACCCCATTTGCAATACCTTGGGTTGTCTATTATTGCAAATGGTATGCCATTATGGGTGTAAATTTCATTCCTGGCTACTATAAAGTCCCAAAGGCAACATAACCAATCTGGCGAATTTCAATTTCAAATGTAATGTGCTATATTTGACCCTGTAACTTCCCAAAACGCCATAAAACCTGTACATAGAGGGTACTGTTTTACACGTGAGACTTTGCTGAATACAAATATGTGTATTTTATTGCAGTAAAAGCAAACAGTATTATGACATTGACAGTTAAAATGTCATGTAGAACTAAAAAAATTTAAAAAATTCTTATTTTCTCCCATTTTTTTCATATTAAATTATGTTTCATAGCTAAATATTTGATATTAAATGAAAGCCCTGTTTCCCCTGAATAAAATGATATATATAATAAGGGTGGGCGCATTTACTATGAAATAGGTGAATTACGGTTGGACAGACATGTAGCGCAAATGCCAGGTTTTGTTTACATTTTGTTTCGTTCACAACGTGTACATTTGGCTCCGTCCTTAAGGGGTTAACCATATTGTTTATCATTGTAGAGGAACCAATTCCATAGTCCATTTTTTTCTGTAAAAATGGCTTTGGAAAAAATGGGAAAAATTGTTCCATTTTTTTCTGGGCTTTGCCATCTACAATACAATACTGTGTGCCTTTCAATATTTCCAGTTCTTATGTTGTGAAATTCTGATAAATGTCTGGTACTGTTGACCCCACAACTGTCAATATCAGTATTTACCTAGAGATCACAGCATACATGTTTTGTGTAGGAAGTTGAAGGAGATGATGGGTTTCTAATAGGATTCATTTGCGTTGAACTTCCAAGTACCTCTTAATTGGATGATTAAGTTAATTCTGCCTGCAGTGCCAGGATCTGGATCAGGACGAGCTGTAGCAGTACCTTGCATTTCTGCAACACAGCAAGGCAGTGTTGGTCTCTGTGCCCAAGTGTTGATAGAAGAGACTGGTCTCCATGCAGTGTCAGAATCTGGAGTGGAGCAAGGTGTTGCAGTCCTCTGGACACAGAAACCGCCAGGCAGGGCATATGAGCTTGTTGGGTCTTGCTTCTCCGTTGTGCTTTATGTCCCCGGTGGTGCCTTGTATAGATTTTTAGCTTCTTGAGCTGGGGTAGAGTGCGCAGCTTGATCCGCCGCCACGAGGAGGGCCCTTTTGCAGTCAGGACCTTCAGAGCCTTCCTCCCATGTTGAGGCAGCCACTTGGGTAGACTTATTTGTGTAGCTTTGCCCTGTGCTCCCTCTAAGCCAGATTTGCTTTCCAGGGATGGACCGAGATCACCTCTGACGGTCCGGGGGGGGGGGGAGTAATGAGCTCTTGCTCGGAGTGAGTCGTCGCCATGTGTCGGCGGACTGGGAGATCAGCCGTTTCTCCACAAGGCCTCATGTTGCCAGCAGTGGGGTCACAGACCACTGTGTCGGTTCCCAGACCAATTGTGGGTTAGGTGAGTCGATTGTTGTCATCTATTTCAAGCTTTGGGGGGGCTAAATGAATTGCCCCAATTTCTGAGGAGCTCTGATAAAGCACGTCTATCCTCCATGCTGGTCAGGCTCCGCTCCCCATAATTTAATATTTTTGATAGATTTGAAGTTAAAAATGTATCATGGTAGTTAAGATATTTATTTAGAATATTCTTTTCTCTAAGGTAATTAAAGATCTGAGAATTAGAAAGATTTCATTTTTGTTTATACTTCTTACGGTACATTTGTTAAAGGGTTTCTCCAAGCATCATAACTACTACAGCATGCTGTAAGAACCCTGGCATCATTTCCTGGTAAGGAGGCAAACCATTTTAGAACGGTTTGCCTCTTATCTGAGCACCAACAGCGCCAAGCCTCAAACAATGATGGCTTTTTATCCGCAGAGCCGCAGAAGCCACTTGCCAACCCTGCCAGTCATTGATTGGTTGAGAGCAGCAGTTGAGCATCCTCAGCCAATGAATGAGTGTCTAAACAAAGAAATATGCACATAGTTGACATTATTATTTAATAATTATTATTATTATTATTATTATTTTTAGGAATGTACAGCACTAAGTGGGCTAATTAAAAAATGTGTATGCTTCCAGGCTGAATACGTACCTAAATATCTCTGTATAGCAAGTGTTTCATATTGAAATGCTGCACATAGAAGCTCCTTGCACTATGACCACTTCAAATCCTAAAGTGGTAATTTTACTTGAAGTAACCTGTTGAGTACTACATAGACTAATGTTGGTAACATGAAATTGCTATTAACTGTTAAATCTTCACTACTATTTTCAAATGGTATTCATGACAATATTGAAGTTTGTTTTTAGTGTAGGCTCAATTCGGACTCTGACATTTTGAAAGGTTTCACGTTTTGCTTGTTTTTAGCTATTAATTCCAACTTCCTTTCCTCTCCCTGTTTTATGCAACAGTACAGAAATACAAGCTAGATTCAACATTTTAATCTGAGCACAAACCCAGTCTGTATTTGTTATACCCAAAATGATATCCCCTTCAGCAGAACAGCTTAGCAATAATATTTTTTATAGTAAGATTTATAGGCAATATTGACATTTTTCGTCCTCAACCGTAATTACATTTCAAACTGTTCCGTCTATATACCAACACACTGCTTACAGATGCTGACAGCTCAAGTACTGCCTTATCTTGTAGCTGTACAGCTGGTACAACTGGACAGTGAAAATTCTTCAATAAATGCTTTCGACTGTGTTTATCACACATAGTTGCCACGGGCACCAAAATCTCTCTATAAGCAGCTACCTGTTAAGTCTATATCTATGAATCTGCAATTAAACCTACCTGTCTTTATTTTTAAATGGGAAATCCAAGACTTTGTACACTTCCTGTATCATATTGATGAGTAAAGACAAAATGATGAAAACAACCCTTTTTCTATGGATAGTGAAATTCTGTACAGGACCCATTTCTACCCAATCCCATCCTGTCGTGCTATCAGGTGCATCTTCAATCTGGCTTCCTTTTTCTATTTTTACCAGAAATGTGGTCATCTCCCAAGAATACTGCTCTGCTCCTCACTTGTAAAATAGCAGTGATCAATTTAAAGGTTCAGTAGCTATCCACCCTTTTAACCCCTTAAGCACTAAACTTCTGGAATAAAAGGGAATCATGACATGTCACACATGTCATGTGTCCTTAAGGGGTTAAAATGCTCAGTACTTCTTAGGGAATGTCCATTTACAATATGGACCTGTAGTCCAAGCATGTCAAAATCATGAATAAGAAGGGCCAAATAAACAAGGTTTACGTTTATGTGGGCCCCAAAAAAAACAAAAACTTCAGTTTTCATAGAAATGTAGGTTTATTTTGGAAAGTACAGTATAAAAAAAGTTGCCTAACTGACACTGGATGTCCTCACGCTTGTAGGGCTTCAAAGTAAACAAAAGGGCAAATTTATTTTAACGAGATATGTATTTGTCTGTAACCAATGTTTTAGTCCAACTACCTTGACATATTAAGAAAAGTTTGGTAATGGGACTGAAATGGTGAATGTATGCTGTTGCACAGCTGTAAAAAAACAAATGATGTCATCTTTAATTTTGAAGTCTTATGACTGTGTTCTTCACTTTTTGAATATAGTATAGCAGGAATGTGAAACTTCACTCAAACCCATTTAAAATGTATCCAGGTGCACCAGACCATTAGCAGTACCAGGAACCAAATATTTGATGAGGAAAAAAAGAGAAGTCGAGGCACTCTCAGGATACAAAAAGGCAATTTATTGAACCCACTGCAATGTTTTGACCTACACGTCCTTTGTAAAGCTGGGAGTGCCTGGACTTCCCTTCTATGTATTCTTCACTTTGGCTGAGATCATCAAACTTGATGATATCAGCACTTTGGCTGAGATCATCAAACTTGATGATCTCATCAAACTTGATGATCTCATCAAACTTGATGATCTCATCAAACTTGATGATCTCAGCCAATCCAATGCTTTCCCATAGGAAAACATTGGGAGGCTATTGTGCATGTGTGGCAAAAAGCTTTATGGCTAATCAGCATCTCCGTGGGGAGCGTTAAGCGCCTCCATGCAGACCCAGTCTAATACACTGCCCCCTCCCCCCATTCTAATACATTGCCCCCAAATCAAATAAACTGTCCCCTCCCTCCACTCTAATATTGGCCTGCAGGAGCACCCAATCTAATACACTGCCCCATAATCTAATACACTGCCCCCTCCCTACACTCTTATTGAATACACTGCCCCTCCAACCAGCACTCTAATTTAATACACTGCCTTCCCTCCCCCAATTTAACACAATGCCCCCCCATCACTCTAATACACTGCCCCTTAATTTAATACACTTCCCCTCCCTCCGCCAAATTAATACACTGCCCCCTCCCTTTCTCAAATTAGTACACTGTCCCCTCCCCCCAATTTAATACACTGGCCCCCTCCATTCCCCAAATTAATACAAATTAATACAGTGCCCCCTCCCTAAAATGTATACACTGCCCATTCACTCCCCCAATTTAATACACTGCCCCCTCCCTAAATTAATACAATGCCCCCCCTCACCAATTTCACACACTACACAGGAAGATCCGCCAAGCCCTTCTTCCCCTACCTTAAAATGAGCCCCCTGATCCCCAGTTCCAGCTCCAGTTCCAGCTCTTCTCTGCTTAAGCAGCCAGACACTCCTCTGGCACTGTGAGCAAGAGGAAAGGGGGAGTGGCTGGCCTGCAGGAGCACGTGATCGGCTTTGGTCGGGAAGACAGGAATCAGACAGGAAATATCTTTCCTGTCTTGCAGCTGGTTGCAGCCACAACGCAAAGTGGCCACAGGGCAGGTGGGTCGCAAATATATCCATAGTGGGCCACATGCGGCCCGTGGCAAGTTTACAATGCTTGCTGTAGTCCATCTTTGTATACATATCCTAGTAGGCTAGGAAATGCTTGCTGTAGTCCATCTTTGTATACATATCCTAGTAGGCTAGGAAATGCTTGCTGTAGTCCATCTTTGTATACATATCCTAGTAGGCTAGGAAATGCTTGCTGTAGTCCATCTTTGTATACATATCCTAGTAGGCTAGGAAATGCTTGCTGTAGTCCATCTTTGTATACATATCCTAGTAGGCTAGGAAATGCTTGCTGTAGTCCATCTTTGTATACAGATCCTAGTAATCTCTCTCTATGGTTGCCTGTACTGTACTGATCTGGATCATCAAATGATTTGCTATTTTTGAAGTTACTGACCTGGCCTGTC